ACCAGATTCGACTCCCCCAAGGTATCTCTCGATCATATTGTCGTCAAAGGCGACGCCGATGACCTGACCAGGTCGATGGCGTGGCAGGGTGATCCGTTTATTGAGTTCAACACTTCCACGTACAGCAAGGCCGACCGCCTCGTCGAGACACTCATGCACACGGCTGGCGAGGTCGCTGCAAAGTGGTGCCAGGCCCGCGCCATCCCCGTCCCCTACAGCACCCAGCCGGACGCCGTCACAAACGCAAAGGGTCTCGCCGCCTACCGCCGCGAGCACATCGACCCCTTGTCGGCGGAAGGCAAGCCCATCCCCGCGGAGCACATCCACCGGCTCCTCGTCTACGTCGGCAACTCGGAGCTCTCGGTCAGCCCGGCGCCCTTTTACGCCGTCGGCGTCGACGCCTACGCAAAGTCCACCAGTCCCATTCGCCGCTTCAACGACCTCGTCGTTCATTGGCAAATCCACGCCGCCCTCGCCTACGAGCGCGAGACGGGCGGCTCCCTCGTCGGTGAGGAACTCTTGTCCGACGATAATGCCGCCGCCATCCTTCCCTGGACGCACCGCTCCCTCTCCGACGCGCTGCCGATGCTTCACGCCCTCCAGCGCCAGATCAAGCAGGTCGACAACAAGAACGCCCCGACGCACTGGGTTGCGCAGGCACTACTGCGCGCGTGGCGCTTCGGCGAGGCGCCGCTGCCAAAGACGTTCAAGTTCGTCGTCGATGCTGTCTACGCGTTTGGACTGAGGGGTCGGCTGAGCACCTTTTACAACCTGGGCGCCTCTGTGGACCTGATTAGGCTGGAGGGCTACAGTAGGCTCGCGGACGTGCAGGCTGACGATGTGATTGATGTCGAGATTGCCGACATCAATGTCGTGACGATGCAGATTTGGTGTCAGCCCGTGGGACGACGACGGGTCGACAAGAAGAAGATGGCCAAGAAGGATGCCACGCCTGCTCGGGATGCGGTAGCGGCTACTCCTATGCCTGCTTGATTGCTTCAGGCAGCACCACTTTGTAAAATCTGTAATACTACTAAAAGAGGACTCTCCTCGTGTAAGAAGAAGGACAAAAACAACTGTACAACATGGCATGGAATTGAGTCGATTTTGTAAGATAGTAGGAAACGCTGGGAAAGATCGACACACTGGACCGACATTTGGGGTCGGGAAATAGGCCATCGAAAATAGAGATGGGTTGGCTACCTGTATAACATTGTCATGATCTCAACACAAAAATCTAGTATCATTTTAGATCCCGAAGAATGTTCCTTCCATTCGTCTACGAGTGAGATGCAAACTTACACAATTCTAATTTCCCACCAAGGGGGATGATGATGGGGGGGAACATCTACTATCCCAGGAGCTCTAAAAAGTACTATACCTATACACAGTTCACCCTCCCGCTCCTCCTCGGAGAGCAAAACATCTAGACGCATCCCCTAACTTACTTTCAAGCCTTGACATCATTCCCGCCGTCACCCTGCCCGTCGCGGGGCGGCGCATCAGCAACGAGATCACCCCTAGCTTTCTTCTCCAACCCATCCACCCTCGCTCCCTCCGCCTTCCGACCCGTCACGAACTCGATCCCGACCAACCCGGCCAGCATACCAAACAGATGCGACGTCAAGTCAATCGTCTGCTTGCCCCGCCTGAAAAAGGCATAGATGTGGAATCCCAGGATCAGCGCAATGAACCCCAAGCCCTGGGGCCCATTCATCGGATCTGGCGGGAAGCCCAGCACCTTGAATGAATCGAACCGATGCATCCAAAAGTACGCCGTCGCGACACCAAACACGGCGCCCGACGCACCCACAGTCGAGACGGTCAACAGCCCGCGGAGCGTAAACGCCGTCAAGCTGCCCAGGAACCCGACGGCGCCGGAGGCGAGGTAGACCGCCAGGAAATTCGCCCGCCCGACCTCGTCGTGCAGCGCGGTGCCCATGAACCACAGCCCCACCATGTTGGTCGCCAAGTGGCCCAGGGAACTGTGCGAGAAATTCGCCGTAATCATCGTCACGGCCCGCGGCATGCCGTGCACGAGCACGAAATACCGGTTCAGGAACCGCCACAGCGGCGGCACGCGCCACGCCACCGAGACGAGGATGTTGAGCGCGATCAGCGCGCCCACCGTCGCCGTCGAGGCGCTCACCTCGGGGAACAGGCGGTCGGCGTCGCGGGGCGGGGTGTAGACCGCCGCGAACGCCGCCAGCGAGGCGACCAGCAGCAGGACGACGGCCGCGGAGGGGAGAATGCGCTCGGCGAACGTGAGCGGGGGCGGAGCGGCGAGGTCCGAGGCGGCGCCTTGTTCCGTCCACTTCGCCATGCGCGGCGTCATGGGCGGGCGCTTGATGGGGATGGAGAGCGTGCCCGGGTTGTACTCGATGCCCTTTGCCTCGGCCTCGGCGATGAGCCGGGCCTCTTCCTCGGCCGCTCTGGCTTGGTTCTTTGCGCGGATGGCGTCGAAGGCGCTGTAGCCGTATACGGGGTCTGGTTTGACGACGGGTGTTTCTTTGCGAAGAGATGGTGTTTTAGAACCGGCGGTTGACGAAGTGTCCCCCTCGTCAGCACCGCTCTCCTCCGCGAGGTCCTTCTCCAGCGCGGCAAGCTCGTCCTCGGCCCGGAGTCCCGCGTTGAGGACCTCGTCGACGGGCGTCTTCTCGCGGAGGTACGCCAGCGCGGCGTCGCGCTGCTGCGCTGTGAAGGCGGCGGTGTTGATGGCGAAGGCCGGGTCCTCGAGGGTGCCGGCGACGCGGCGGCCGTGCATGATGCGCAGCAGCCGGTTCGCGGCCGCGGGCTTGAGGGAGGGCCCGAAGACGGCTCTGACTTCGGATGCCGAGAGGTCCTTGTTCTCTTCCCTGAACCGCAGGCCTAGTCTGTCCTTGTACTCGAGTGGAAGGTCGACGTATTCGCGGAGCAGGGGTTCGTTTTTGTAGTCGGTTTTGGGTGGCGGTGATGATGACGCTGAGGAGGAGGCCCATCGTTGTATCGATCTACCGGCCGTCATGGCGGCGAGGCTGGGAGAAGGCCATTGGGTTCGGTGGAGGGGTGAGGGACCCGGTACGTACGACCGGGTAGCGGCGGGCGTCCGGGAGGCGATGATGGTGCATGTCGAAAGAAGTCGTGACGCGGATGGATAGCTCTTCGTATTCGGCGCGGAACGGCACGCGGTGCGGAGGCCGAGGTGGAGGAGGGATCTCGAGGAAACGAGGCCGAATGAGGCGTTCATGGCTTGCTCGAGCCGCCCTGGGTGGGCGAACAATCGTCTCTTTTTGCTCGTTTCGCGGGAGCTCACTGAAAAGCTAGAGACTCATCAATGCGCCGGCTGCTTCTCGACGGCGAGGTTTGTCTTTGGCAAATAGTGTAGTCGTATGCCACCTCTCGTAACGTAGGTGCTGTCGTTGCACCCTTATCGCCGATTCGTAGAAGGGGCTGTAGTGGTCGCTCGTCGTCGTCGCGCGCGGGCGGCGTTGTCGCAGTGGTTCGATCGCAAAGACGCAATCGAAGCCCGTAAATTCTTTGGTATTCCGACCAGGGGGATCGGGACCGCGGCAGCCGACGAAGGGCAGCTTCCGGCCCATCCCCGGGGCTTTGGTAAGCACGCAGAAACTAAGGCACGTAATCGATAACGACGGGAGCGGAAAACTCCGTCGGCGGTAAGACCTAATGGAAGGTAAGGTACCTGCCAGTGCACTCCCCCCTTTCGTCATTTTCCATCAAGGTATCCGTACCTGACCGTCCCCTGCTCATTCCCCACCGGAGGAACCTTCTACTGCACCTTCCACCACCTTCCCACCCCGCGCTCAGCTTTGTAGGGAAGCTACCTCACCTCCTCCAGCTGGCAGAAAACCTGCGGTGACGTTGCACGGCATCTACCTGGAAGAACGTCTCTTTCTTCTACAAACACCAAGCCCGCACATCGTCATCGTCCTCCCCCCGTCCTTTCGTTCAATCATCACTCGTGAACAGGGTTCTTTCTCACTCGCTTTTACCTTCTTCCCCTCTCTTCCACTGCCCCAAGAATTTCATTCACCTTTCTCATTCACACACCAGTACCTTCAGTCTCTTTCTCAACAAGACCAAACACCCAAGTCACAAACTCGCCAACAAACAACCGAATACTAAACCCCGCCAAAGCCAAAGTAATCAACCTTCCTGAACCGTCAAACCAATACACCGCCAACATGTCAGCAGACACCCGCCCAATATCCCCAACCCAATTCGCCTCCGCCCTCCGCGACCTCTCCCTCCCAACCCTCCACCTCAAAGCCCTCGAGATCCGCAACTCCATCCTCCACCTCGAATACTCAAACGCCCAGCTCGCCCCCTACGCAGCAGGCGACGCCACCACCCTCGACTCCGCCACCGACGCATCGGCGGGGCACGGCCCTGACCCGACCTGCGTCGAAGCCATTCGCGAAAACGACGTCGTCATCGCACGCATGCGCGAGCGCGTCCAGATTATCCGCGACGAGGTCGAGGGGAGGGGACACTCGTGGAACGAGTTTAAGAGTAAAGAGGAGGTCGAGGAAGAGGAGGCGGGACTCGGGGCGGCGGACCGGAGGGGGATCACGAGTGAATCAGTGGCTGGCGCGAACGGCGTCAACGGGAACGGGATCCCGGCATCTAACGGGCTTGGCGCGGCGGCCGCGGAGGAGAATAGGATCGCGGCTGGACGTCAGGGTGCGCCGACGACGACCAACGGTGGTAGTGGTGGCTCGTCGACTACTGCCGCGAGCTCGTCACACCCTGCGTGGATGGACGGTACATTCCAGATGGGCACGATACGCAACGGTGTGATCACGATGGATGGACCCCCCGCGCAATCTACTCAATCTGCTCAGCAATCAAACGGCACAGGTGGTCGCCTGACGGACGAAGAACTGCGGCGGGCCATGGAGGAGCGGATGAGAGGTCTCGGCGACGAGGACGAGGACGGCGGAATGCATCTGTAGGAGTACGCCAGAAGAGGCTGGATGACACACGGTGTTCGCGGTCATGAGGCGTTGGTCCCCGTCGACGGGGATGGATCAAACAAAAAGGAAAAAGGATCAGATCATGGAACGTTGGGACACAAGAATTTCGGACAGAGTAATAATACCCTTCATGTTCCTAGTGCTACTTGCTAGTAATGCCATGACAAAGGGAAAATAGGAGAGGAAAAAAAAGGGGGCATAAAAAGAAAGAGGTAAAGGCTTTATCGCATCTTTGTGTGCGGCCAAATGTGTAAAATGTAGAAACGAAGAGATGAAATGAAGAAACATCAAACAAGCCATGGATCTCGTCCTCTTTTGAACAAAACCAACCCAGAGACCCCAGACCTTATTTTTTGAAAAACACCCAATTGCACGCCGTATGCTTGCTCTCTTGCTTTTTTGTTGGCAGCACACCTCTTAACGCCTCGATGCCGAATCCCATTTCCGAAAAATGCAAATGCTCCTTTCCGTGAACGCTATGCCCCTCTCTGGGAGTAGATAATGCAGTAGATGAACCTCGTCAAATGATGATGGGGAGGGTCAGAGACAACTAGAGAAAGTGTGTTCTGGTCGGCTGTCTGTTCGACCTAGTTCGTGTAAAAGGTATCCGACATCATGATACCGATGTGGTAGCGGTGACAGTGGTAGGTGTGTTCTCATCCGCGGTGCGGTTGATGATAGGGTTGGCAGACGCTTTGGGCGTGACGTCAGAGTTGTCCTTGGATACAACATCTGGCATCGTGCCGTTGGGACGTGCCTTCAATGCCTGCCTGGAGTTGGAGCGGGAGCTCTTAATGGTCTCCAGCTTGGGGCGTCGGGGAGGACTCGATTTCCCTAAGGAATCCCACGTGCGGTGCTGCACAAAGTCGTCCTCGTCTGAAGAGGTCTCCTCGGGCGTCATGGGAACGCGGCGAGCACGGGCGATGCGTCGACGTTCCACCAGCTCGCCGTCTGAAGATACTTCGGAATCTAGCGAGAGGCTGCGGCTACGGTTGGACATGCCCCTGCTCGATACAGTTGTCCGCCGTGACCGCCTGCCGATGAGTGAGTCGATCAACTCCGATTCCGAAGGTGTCTCCTCCAAGGGCAGCTTCTCTCCCTGTTGCCGCAACTTCTTCTTCAACGCCTTTTCACGGACTAGCCTGTCCAAGGGGGTGTCCTCAGACGCCATTGTTCTCCTGCTGCCGACTGTGCTGGTGCTCTGGGTTCTGGCGACGGGAATGCGGCCCTCCATGAGCTTGGCAGGGGGCGGCGGCTGTAACATCCACTTGAGAGCGTCCGGACGGGACGGCTTGCTTCCTACTATCGGCGGGTGGTACTCGTTGACGGGCGGATTTCTCGGTGTACGGTAAAAGTTCTCGCGGTCCTCATCTGTGATGGGCTTCTCCAGTCCCAACTTCTCCTCCATGTAGCGTCCGGCCGTGTTTCCAGCCTTTGCGATGTTGTCCATCAGCTTGTGACCCATGCCGGTGAAGTTGTGGCCCCAAAGCTCCTCGTCCTCTCGTTGGTACAGCTCTCTATTCCAACCGTCGCCGGACAACTTTCGTCCAGCTGTTGAGGCACTTATCGTCGGGGTCGCAGGGCTGGTACTCTCGGCGACGGTGCTTGCTCCGCCAAAACTCGCGGCTGTGCTCGTCCGGCCTGCACTCGCCAGACCTCTCTGGCTCGAATTCTTGTTGGTTGACTTTTTGGGTAGGTGTGGTCCTGCTGCCATCTCCTCGGCCCAAAACGGATTTGTGTGAAAGGGGTCAGGATGACGATACAGTCCTGGTTGCTCCATCTCTATTTTCCTCTTCACCTCCCTATCCTCCTTGGCCTTCTTCTTGGCCTTTCGGAAAGCCTTCATCTCGTTACATGGTGTACACGCGAGGTAGTAGAAAATCGCCGACTGGATGGCGACTGGTAATGACATGTTTGCGGTATGGCCGTAACCCCGGCGTGGGGAGAAGGTCTGGTGTGTATTCGGTGCCCGGTATTTCTAGTACACATGGAAGGCAAAGGATATCTTCGGGGAGGGTTCGAAGAGGTAGGCAGGTGGCGTGTGTGTGTTGGTTGTTGTGGGTGTCGAGGGGGGTGATATAGACGGGGTGCCGACTTGTTGGATCGAGTGGTTCGCGGGGAGGAAATAAGTGTCCTAGTGGGAGGAAAGTGACAGGAACCACGAGGAGAAAAGGTGGTCCAAACAGGCAAAGCGGATGTTCAAGGTAGCCAGGATAAGGTGAGGTACGGGGACGGGACGGTAAGGTAGGATACGGCGCCTTTGAACCTAAGATGAGTTGCTCAGGGAAGGGAAAGGACCGCGTGCCAGCGCCAGAGGGAACTTAGGAAGTCTAAAGCGCCATTGAAGTGAATCACCGGCGCAGAGCCCAAGACACGGTTTCGGTATGGGGGGCGCGAAATGCTTTAAGGGTAGCTCGGCCTGTGCGGCCCCTCCAGGTACGGGGAGTATCGACGTTTGGTGTTGGGAGGACGGAGGACAGAGTGAGGTTTCAAGGTTGAGTGATGTCCTGGACAGGGCTATTCTCGAAGGGGGTGCGTGTAAGAGGAAGAAGCACAGGCGCAGGCGTGACAGCAACCGGTGCAGTCTGCAGTCCAATCCAGCTGGCAGGAACTAAAAAAGAAACTTGCAATGCACCTCAGTGGGCGAGTGAGGCAGAGGCCGTAGAGCACCTTGGTCCTTGGAGTGAGATAATAGGACCGTAGCGCACGACGGCGGTCGGAGTGGCGGATGAAGATGGATGGACGGGCGGGCTCGGACGGAACGGTTTAGAAAGTAGGGAGGACCAGATGATTGTGGTTGAAGATGAGGGTGCCTCGGAGGCTTGCGTCGCGTGAGCGAATAGACGTTGGCCTATGGCGGTATGTTACTCTCGAGAGTGTATAGGGTGCTGGTTGTCTCTCTGTCTCTTGCTATTGCGCTACCACATGGAAGGATGACGATGGATTCGATTGGCGGTATCGAGCGGGTTTAGGATGAGGAATTGAGACACGGATACACTGAACGCACAAGAGGGAGAAGAGGGGGAGGGGGAAAAAAGACAGGAAAGGGAGCAGAAAGAAGTGAGGGAAAAACGGACGGGTGAATTGAAGGCGAAATGGAGTTGAAGTGAGGTGCTTAGAGACGACGTTTCGAAAAAGGGAGGCGCAAGGTAAGTAGGTACGGTACGGTACGGAGTACCTAGGTAAGTACCTTTGAGCCTACCTTCACACTCGCCCGCCCAGTTCTCCTTTCTACGTAGTACAGGCGGGCAGGTCCCCTCCTCCTCCTCGGCCTCCCTCTCCCTCCTTCTTTCCCATCGGGCAATCAATGAAGGGGGGAGTGGGTGGAGGTACCAGTCGCATGGAGACCGAGAGCCCAAGGTACAGTGTACTAGTTTAGAGGCGTGGACTAGGGGGGAATTGTGGGTTTCTCGACGGCAACCGGGGGGAGCGATTTGAGAGAGGGACACGGGGGACATGGGGGCCTGGGAAGGAAGGGTAAGGGGAGAGGAAGAGGAAGCCACGAAGCGAAGACAAGTACTGTGTACTCCGTACCTGGTACATGTACCTCTACCTCATACACCCTCCTCTGTCTAGGTGTCCCTCTGTCCTTCTCTTCCCTAGGTATTCTTCCTCTTCCTCTTCTCCCCTTCTTCCTCTTTTGAGTCCATCCCGATATCCAAATTGATCGGATCCAACAGTTCGGATCCCTTAAACTCTACCGTCCTATCTGCCACCTACCCTTCTCCCTGCTATCTGGGACATTGGAAATGCATTGGAAATTGTATCAGCTATTTCATTCCAACGCCTGAGTCGTTGGCTTGATTGCAGAGCGCATCTTCATCAGACACTTTACGAGCGTCCACTTTACGCCAGATGATCGCGAGAGATTGCGCTCCCCTCCACGGCTTAAGCGGACGGGTCCTGGACACCGTGACACCCCCGACTATGGATCGAGCACGCACGCAGCCCAGCCTACCAGATATGGCACAATCTGAGTTGGGCATGCCAATCATTGCAATCAATGGTGCGAAGTTGGACCTGTCTGAGGCGCCTGGGCGGACCCGTCGTTGTCGTCGTCGTCGTCTCCATGCATCTAAATGCGCCTCCATTCCACAGCACTCACAACACTGCGAACCGTCTGCGTGTACACGTACACACTACAGTTACACAGCTCTAAGCTGCGTCTCGTCCTGCAAAGGCTGCAATTGAACAGACCAGAACGAGAACAAGGTCCTATACCTTCCCCCTCCGGAAACGCCAAGTACCCAGGAAACGCCAATCTGGGGCAGCTCTGTGCCTCGTGCCTGCGTCTGGCTGCTGTGCGCTGTTTGGTTCATCCGCCGCCCGCTGTCCCACACGATGCAAGTCGAATCAGAATGCGAATCGAGTGCGCCTGTTTGCTGCGCATGGTTACCCGACCTCGCGTCACTGGAGTCTTGGAGGACTAGCCAAGTCAAAGGTCAAGACGGACAACCTTGGAAGTCGGATAGACAAAGGTGCCGCTGCCCCACGGAGCGAGCGCATTGCATCGCACCGCAACGATTCCTCGTCCAACGTGCTCTGTTTCCCACCGCCTCTCTCGCCCGAATCCTCGAATCCTGAGTCTGTCTGTCTGTCTGTCAGACTGTCTCTGTCCAAGACGCGCGCATGGACCGAGGTAGACTTGCCAACGCAACGCACCACCTCAAGCCTGCCAATCCCGTCTTGGCCGATAATCCGTCTTGTCGCGCCTTCAACGTCTGCAACTGGCTTGTTCATCATTCCTCTTGATAAATCGTCCTCTACGAGCACTGCAAACAACCAGCAGAGGTCCGTTCAAACCGGGGCGGCGCAGAGAAAGGGCGGAAGATCTCAATCGGCCAAGACTTTCACTTGTTTTACGCATTACGCTACCTGAAGTGGGAGAGCCGATGTACCTGGTACCTAGGTCGGATCTCTGGCTTCCTCTACTTGTATGCCACTATCATCTATGGACCCTGTCAACCTCCCCTCCCTCTCCACGACAGCCCGACCCCTCAAGGAATGGGAGAGTGCTAGGCTCGGGGAACCAGATTGACCAGTGTTCGAACTTGAATACCATGCACCTGCACATGCACCACACACCACGACTATGGACCGATTTACCGCAACCCTCCTCCAGCAATCCAATTGCCCAATGCCGCGCGAGTCTTGCCAGCCCGACCCTACGCCGTGCTACGGGGGCCCGGAAGCGGGACGGAGCTCCATGAATCTGCAACTCGGCCAATCTGCGCCGCGTCGCGCCTTTGGTCATAATGGATTGGTTCCCAGAGAGGGATTTCTTCTCCATGGCGCCCATCGCGCGAACAATCAGTTCATGATCCCTATGTCATCATCTACTACCGACTTCAACTTAGTCATGGACAATTGACCCGGAAGCGTCGAAGTGCCCTGCCTTAATTTCACTTTTCTGCTCAGCTTAGCAACCCGGAACCCGAACCACCAACCGGACTGCCA